CACAAAAGTGCGCAATAAGTAAGTTTTTTTGTATCAATTTTTTAAAATTTTAATAACTAAAAAATTAAATATTAACTTTAAAAGAGTATTGTTGTATGAAGTTGTGATGAAAGGTTTCATGATCTGCCTATGGAAGACTGGATTATGTGTGACAATTGTAAGGCCTGGTGGAGGTGAACGTATCCTGAGGTTTTGTATGTGCTTTCTAATCATAGTTATTACAAATAGCATTTTATTCGTTACTAAACAACATTTTTTGTGATTACCCTAAGGTGTGTTTTTATAAATACAGGTAAAAAGTAAAACAATATTGTAAATTACGTTTTCAAAATGCTTTTACTCTGTAAGAGAATTTTGAAATCTTATGTATGTTGTTAGAATATTATTTTCTCACTTGAAAGACCATATAATCGCTAAAAAGTTACTTTTCTACTTTTTCTAATTAAGGAGGTGTTAAAAAAAATTCAGAAGATGTATAAAAGCAATTAGATAGATTGCTAGACAAGAGTTTCTCTTCGGTAGCTGCTAAAATTCCCTGAGAAACTATTTTGCTTTTTATAATGAACTAACAGTAAGCAACCCGTAATACGGGTTGTTAGTGAATAAAATTAAAAAAAAAACCGCGTATAGAGATGGCCTACTTTATTTATACGGCCGGATATTTTACATTTTGAAGAAAAAAATAGAAGGCCAGTTTTCTGGAAAAGTGTTTTTAAGAAAGCAGCTTTGGAAGTTCAAAAAGATGGTTAACAAATGTTGCGTCGTAAATTGTCGTTCAAATTATCATAATTATGGTGAAGTATCTACAGTAGTAATTTCGTTTCCAAAAAATGAAGAGTTAAAAAAATATTGGATTAAAATTTGTAAATAAAAAAGATTGGACACCTACTAATTCTTCCGTTATATGCATCAAACATTTTGAAAAAAAATATTATAAGAAAGGTAATAAGAATCAACGTTTTAGATTAATAAAAAATTTAAAGCCTATTCCAACTATTTTTGACTGCACAAATTTGACTGAAGAAGGTTCATTACAACTTATAAAATCTTCTAATTCATTAAGAAAATCACCAACTAAAAGAATATTTCAGCCAGATCAATATGAACAGTTTTTATTGAATGATTTGATTAATAGCTTTAACGATATTACTGAAAGTTTTGCTCCAGATGGTTTTTCATTCTTGAAGTATGATGATCATGTAATTTTTTATAAATTGAGTCATAGTACTTTATCTATTCCAGAGGTTACAGAGTGCATTCGTGTAAACAATGAGATGCATGTTAAATTATTTTACAGAGGTTCACCTCTGCCATTACCTCAGTGGTTTTGTCAAGGAAGAGATTGTCGTTTATCTTGTAAAAGTATGCTTCATAATTTTCCTACCTACATTAAATCACAAGCCGAACAATTTTCATCTGTATTGACTGAATTACAGCAAATTAAATATATGAAAAAACCTATTTATTCAGCCAATATTATAAGGTATTCACTGATATTACGATATACTTCTATGCAGTCATACCAACTTTTGCGTGAAGAATTGCCTTTACCATCATTATCATTACTTAAAAAAATAACTAGTGGAAATATTGATGCTCTAAGTTGTGCAAAACGTTTAAAATTAGAAGGTAAGATATCTCAAGACATTTGCTTGATTTTTGATGAAATGTACTTGCAAAAATGTGAGGAGTATTTTGCTGGAGAGATGATTGGTAGTGATGAGTCTGGAGAAATGTATAAGGGAATAGTTTGTTTTATGATAGTTGGCCTGAAACAAAACATTCCATATGTGATCAAAACGTCTCCTGAAAAAACAATCAATGCTAAATGGTTGAAAGAAGAAATTTTTGAATGTCTTCGTATTTTAACTGAATGTGAATTTAATGTTAGAGTTATTGTGTGTGACAACCATTCTGCCAATGTTTCTTGTTTTGAAAAAATCCTTTGTGCATCGAATCAACAAGCTGAAGATTTGTTTTTTATTTACAATCTAAAAAAAATTTACCTCTGTTTTGATGTTGTACATCTTATTAAAAACATCAGAAATAGTTTGTTAAATTGCAAAAGATTTTTATTTCCAGATTTTAACTTTAATGGATTTAAAGATCCTATAATTGTATGTGGGGGAGAAATTAAATGGAGTACCTTCCACAATATTTATGAAAAAGACCTCACTCTTGATGCTGGTTTGCGTAAAGCACCAAAAATAACAATGAAATTGTTACATCCTGGCAATTTTAAACAATATGTTTTTTTAGCACTTGCAATTTTTGATGAAACTACATCAGCAGCGATTCACTCATATTTTCCAGATCTTAAAAGTAGTGCAGATTTTCTTACATTATTTAACAAGTGGTGGGTTTTATCAAATTCTAAATGTCAGTATTCAGCATTTAATATTTTAGGTAATGCAGTCGTTTTTGGTGATAAAAAACCTGAATTTCTTCGGGAAATGGCACATTGGATTGAAGTTTGGCAATCACAAAAGATACCAAACTGTGAGAAGTTTACTTTAAGTGTTCAGACAGCTGCAGCACTAATAAGAACACTTAATAGTCATGCCTCATTGATCGAGGACTTGCTTAATGATGGATATCACTTTGTTTTAACTGCGAGATTTCAAAGTGACCCATTAGAAAGGAGATTTGGACAATATAGACAAATGAGCGGTGGAAGATTTTTGGTAGGTTTAAAAGATGTCACTATTTCTGAAAAAATATTAAAAATCAAAAGTATAGTTAAAGAAAGTATTAACTTCGATGATAGTTTAAAAGTGCCTGAGTCAGAAAATAGTTTAACAGATTAGAAAAACTTTCTTCTTGATATTGATGAAGCTCATTGATATTGATGTACTCCAGAAATCATGACACTTGCACCAGAAAGTAGGGAAGTAGGTGCTCATATTGCTGGTTATATAGCTAAGAAACTTAAAAAACGTTTTGGTACATGTTGTAAAGAATTTTTATGTTGTGTCAATATTGATGAAAGCAATCCTGATCATACTTATTTAACAATTATTTCTAGGGGTGGTCTCACTATTCCTTCACCATCACTTTTGGATTATGTTTGGACATCCTTTGCTATGATTGACTACTTTTATAAAAAAATAAAGAAATTTAGTATACATGCACGACAAGCTTTAGAATATTTGTTAAACCACTTTTATGACTCTTTTCAGACTTTTTCTTGTCCCATGCATGAGAAAACTGGGATAAAACTTGCTGGAAGAATTGTTGTTAACATTTTTCTTAATAATAAAAGAGTTATCTCTACCAGTGAAGTAGCTGTTGATTATGTAAAATCTTTTAAAAAGAGAAAATTTGAGAAAATTTAATAAATTATATATAATTATTTTATTTTTAAATGAAAAAAGAGAAACATTTAAATATTTTTTATAACTGTTCTTGTTTCTTACATCGTTTTTACTAATACTAAATTTTAAAATAAACACTATTTATTTCTTAATAAATGTTCGTTTAATATCTAAAATTATAAATAAATACAACTTTTGTGGACTTTTTAAATGTAGAAAGTAAAATAATATTGAAAATGTTCAAAACGTATTAAATTTTTGAAACATTACGATTTTAAAAACTGGCCTTCTATTTTTTTCTTCAAAATGTAAAATATCCGGTGTCGTACAAATTTGTTTCCCCCATAAATTTATTTCCGAGTCGCACGCCGATTGGTTAAAGAGGCCACCCGAAATAACTAAACAACGCCATACAAACTAAACAACAACACCCGTAAATTTTCTTCCTATCCTGATTAGAAGTGAGTTTAAATTTACATTAGGTTTTAATAAATAAATTAATAACTTTCATGCCAAGTATGATATATTATTTTTATATTTTTTCTTAAGCAATGCCTAAGATCAATGCAAAATTTCAAGAGCTACGTCTCGATGAGATAAGACAATACGTATTAGATGGAAAGTATGCAAATACTGTTTTGAACAGTGAGAAACGTGGGCTCAGAATAGCTGCAAGAAATTTTAAAGGAATAGGCAAGTGAATTTTAATTATTTGGCATCTGTAGTAGACCCGATTAAGACTAACACAAGTAATTTAGTAGTAAGGTTTATATTATCTAAAATATAATGGAACACAATATACATAATCTAAATATAATAACAATATTACAATATCACAGTATCTAATAGTTTCCACTTAGTTTTAAATATTTTATTTTAAGTTTAAGATTTTAACATATGTTTGAACTAAGTTTTAAAAATTGGTTAAATTTTTAGATGGACGTTTGTACTATATTCGAGATGAATCTCTACGACTTGTTTTGTATAGTCAAGAAGAAAGAAAAAGGGTTCTTAAAGAATGTCATAATGATGCTGGTGGGGCACACCAGGGAATAGTAAGAACTCAAAATAAAATTAAAAATTTGTACATTTGGATGTCAATTACATCTGATGTTGAAGCATGGGTTAAGTACTATTTGCTTTTTACGAAGGCTATATGTTTATTTTCTTAATAATATAAAGATAATAAACATGTAACTATCATTATTAATATAAAATATAAATGCAATAATAATATTCACTATAAATTGTATTATTCTAATTAAATAATGTATAGTCTATTATAGATCAAGACATGTAAACAATGTCAATCATTTGAAAAAATAAAAACAATTGCACCACAACTACACCCAATTCAGGTTACAGAAAGATGGGCAGTTTTAGGAGTAGATCTAATTGGTCCATTACCGGAAACAGTGAATGGCAATAAATATGTTTTAACAATAACAGATTTGTTTACAAAATGGATTGTTGCTAGAGTATTGCCTGAAAAATCTGCTGCTGCTGTAGCTACTACTTTAGTTAACACTTTTCATACTTATGGTCCGCCAAAAAAAGTAATTACAGATCAAGGAAGAGAATTTGTGATTGAGGTAAAGACTAAAAAAGTTTCTAAAACTTTTGTTTTCTTTGTGTTATTGAAAATTTATTTTATTAGTTTTTTTATTATTTTTTATGTATAGCTTAACAATAAAATTTTTCAATTAATGGGTATTAAACATTCTGTGACATCAGCATACCATGCTCAAAGTAATGGTCAAGATGAATGTACAAATCAAACTTTTAAACGTGCTTTAAGCAAGTATACTAATAATGAGATGAATGACTGGGATAGGTTTAGTAGTCTATATTCTTATTTCATTTTCCTTATATATACACTATAATTTATTATTACAATAATTTTTTTTATGACTTGTATTAGTTACACATCTGCAATTGCTTATGGACTGAACATATCATGCCAGAAATCTACAAAGATGACTCCGTTTTATCTAATGTATTTAAGACATCCTCTAGGTATTGAGATGATAAATGTTCTAAATGAGACTGATGATTCTTTAAATAGTAGTTTTCTTGAAAAAATATCTGACTCTACAGTAGAAAAGTTAGTTAATGATTGTGAGGCTGTTGAGAAAAAAGTTAGGGAAAATATAAAAATTGCTCAAGAAAAGCAGTGTAAGCAACATATGAAAAAAGTTGCAAAAAAGGGTATAAAGACATTTACATTTAAAATAAATGATCAAGTGATGAAGTTAAATGCAAGAAAACGAGGTCGCAAAGGTGAGCCTTTATCTAAGGAGTGGATGGGACCATATACTCTAGCTGATTTAAACATAAAAGGTCAATTTTAAAAACAAAAGTAAACGTTTCTCAGCTGAAACCATCCATGTCAAGACATAGAAACTAATATTCAACATTTAGAAGCAACTCATTTAGATTTGTCATACAGTAGTTACCCTGCAACAAATACAGTTAAAAAATCTGAACCTGGTCAAATAACGTCATCACAAAATCAATTTTATATTAAAAACATTGACTCTATTGATACTTATTCATCCAAAAATAGCATTACATTTAGTGTACCAATATCTGCATTTGAGAGTATATTGAATCAAAACATGTTAGGAGACATTGAAATTAATGCTGCTCAAGTAATATTAAAAAATCAATTTCCTGATATTCAAGGTATGCAAGACACCTTATTAGGAACAAATCTCATGTTCCGTATACAGTCACAGGAGATGCTACAAATTTTGCATGACGGATCCCTTCACTGGTTGTTGATTAGCACACTTGCAGCGATAGAGTCGTTAAAATTTATGACTCAATGAAGACAGAAATGCCAACTTTGCATGTACAAAAACAAATTGCTTCAATTGTATCATGTTCTAAAAATACAGTTATGTGTCAATATCAATCATGTCAGCAACAAGTTGGAGGAATTGACTGCGGTTTGTTTGCAATTGCATTTGCAGTAGATATTTGTATGGGACAAAATGTTGCATCCATTTCGTTCAATCAATCTGCAATGCGCCAGCATTTACACAATTGCTTCAAAGCTAAGCATTTTACATCATTTCCAAGATCATATTCAGAAAGTACAGTTAATAAATGTGAAAGTTCTACGATTTTTAATGTTTGTTAATGTTCCTCTAATATTGGGTTTGAAAAATTATTCAGTTTAATAGATGTGAAGCAGTCACAAACAAATATTCAGATAAAGTTAATGCATGAAAATGTCTGTTGTGTATTATTTATTAGTTTACTTTTAGTATAGCTTTGATTTATTTTAGTTGTTTATATTTTAGTTTCAGTTTTCCTTTTTTTGTTAGTTGAATGAGTTATTTATGATAGGTTTTCTCAAAAGATTATGCTATTATTTTTTTTTTTTTTTTATTTAGACATTCTAGTATATTTAACGAGAATCTACTATTTTATTTACTAGATTTTTGACTTCAATTGAAAAATTTTTTTTTTACAGTTTATGCTTTAAACTTGAAACAATTTGTATTGAAGTTTAAGTTAGTTACTAAGCTAATGTTAGTTACATTTTTGAAAAATTTTTTATGTTATTTTATCATGTCCTTTATTTTTTACATGAACCAGTTTCAAAAAACTTCTTGTATTGTTTTCGCTTTTCTTATCTTTTATTTTGTGTATCTTAGCTGTTTGAATTAACTATGTGCAATACACCTCAAAAATTGTATTTTAACTAGTCCTCTAATGTTCATAATGGTAGTTTTTCATGCTATAAACGAGCTGATGAGTAAGATTTTTTTTATTTGTTTTTATTTGTTTTTTCTGAATTTCTGATTCACATTTATGTCAAATATTTTACTGTCAGTTTCAGCTGGATTTCCTTCAGCTAGATCATCAAGTAGCTTCCTGATAATACTGCTGAAAAAAAAATTGCATTAAAAGTTCCAGTTTTTTCTAATTTTTATATGTGTGTGTGTGTGTGTGTGTGCGTATATTTAAATTAGTTAAAACACTCATCTAATTTTTAGATTTCTTCAACATAATGTTTCTCCATCAGTAGGTTCATCAGGATCATGGCTTCCTGATGAACAAACTGATGGAGAAAAAAATTTAGCTACTAAATAAAAAATTTAAATATGTGTGTAAATTTTGTCAGTGTATGCTACAAAAAGAGTGCTTGATTTTCATAAAAAACAAAAATGTAATAAAATAGCTTCTTGAGGATCCTATAGATGGTGAGACTGTTCAAATCATTTTTTATTTATTATATATAGTAGTATAAAATAAGAAAATATTTTTTTAAATAATACAATATAATAATATCTTGATATTTTTGAATATATCACTATATTATTATGTTTTTATTGCAATAATAATTGCAGTTATGCAATTAGTAACGAATATATATATATATATATATATATATATATATATATATATATATATAAATATATATATATATATATATATATATATATATATATATATATATATATATATATATATATATATATATATATATAATTTATATAATAAACAAACACACATGTGTGTGTGTTTGTTTATTATATAAATAATAAGTATATAATATTTTTTACAGTAGCTTTTATTAAACAAAAGATGCAAGTTCAGAGAATTCTAGTTCAGAGAAATAGTATATACAGAATTGCCAGAAAAAGTATAGTGCTAAACAAATTTCTCAAGAAATAAATCTAACTCTTAAAAATGACATCTCAAGACAGACAATAAATAGAAGATTAATTGATCGTAAACTATGCTTGTATACTGCTGCTAAAAAACCAATGCTTAAACGATCAGTTCGGCTCAAACGGCTTCAATTTTGCAAAAAAAAATTTAAGATGAGTGATAATGATATTTAAAAAAATAGTATTTAGCGATGAATCAAATCATACAAAACTTTAAAAGAGTTATATGATGGTTTATCCTTTAAATATTGCCGAAATCTTTTTGAATCTAATAAAAGAATATGTAGACTTTGAACAGATAACAAAGGCGGTCATATACCATATTAACTTGACTTACAGTTTAAAGTAAAAAATAACGAGTCTAAACTTATGATCAAGATAATCGTAGATATCTTTTTACATTTTGTTATTTTCAAAATAAAATACTTTTAAGTAGTTTTTTTTTGTTTTTTTTTCTTGTCTTTTATATATATTAAAAAGAATTTCATAAATAATAAAGCCTATTAAAAAAAAATTCAAGTAATAAAAATAAAGGCATTTTTTTAAATCACAAATCACTTAGAAACTGTAAGTTTTATTCTAATTCTACAGTGGGTAGCCATTGAGTTTTCTACACATTTTTTTGAAATTCTTTATTATCTCCGTGGCATGCTGTCAATGCATTTCTGTGCCAATTCTTTTATGTGAGGATTCCGATGCCAACCTTCATTTAGTTTTTCAATATGCTGGGTTTTATTTGTCACCAGTTGTTTTGAAGAAACCTCCCGTTTTAATAGCTCCCACAGGTTTTCTATAGGATTAAGATTCGGGGAATTTCCTGGCCAATCCAGCAATGGAATTTTTTTCTCTCCAAGAAACTTTTTAATGAATTTTGCCGTATGGCATGGGGCAGAATCTTGCATAAATATAAGTTTGCCATCTGGAAACCATTCCGAGACTTGAGGAATGAGCTTTTGCTCCAAAACTTCTTTGTATTGGCCCTGCCTCATTGTATCTTGCACTATGTAAAGCCTTCCCGTACCCTTACCACATATAACGGACCACATCATAATTGACAATGGATGTTTTACTGTCTCGATAATGCAGTCTGGATTAAATTTTTCACCCACCCTTCGTCGCACAAATGAGGCTTTGTCGTCCAAGATCTGAAACGTGGATTCATCAGAAAAGCACACCTGAAAACAAATGTTTCAAAAAATGTTAGTCTTTCATTAATCTAAAGAAAATTGAGAAATAAAGCAAAGCATGACATGTTTAAGAAATAAAGACCTTTCTCCAATCATCTGTTGTCATATTGCGGTGTTTTATAGCCCATTTCAGTTATTTATCCTTCATGCCAAGCGTTAATTTTGGTTTTTTCGCAGGACGGTAACACTTAAAGCCTAACTCATCTAAGCGTCTCCTGACTGTGCGATCACTAATATTAATTCCAGCATCTTTAATCAATGTTGTGATTATTTTTCTGGGTTTCTTTCTATTCTCCAAGCAAATATTCCTGATAATTCTCTCAGACCTTGGCGTTGTAAGGCGTTTTCCTTTACAGTTTTTACGGAGTGTGGATATAGGGTTTTCGGCATTTTTTATTTTTGATGCTATTCTTTGCACGGTCTGCCTAGAAACGCCAATTCTTCTTGAAATTTCTTGTTGAGAATAGTTGGTGTTTCTTAAAAGTGACATTATTTCACTTTTTTTAGAAACATTAACATCTTTTTTTTTTACCCATTGTCAGAAACTTTAAAAAATCTAAAAGACAAATAAACACACTACAAAATATGTAAAAGAAAATTAAAAAAGTTGAAATAATGTATATTTTCGGAAAAACTACTTTCAAAGAAGTCTTTCACTAAATAAAACACTTAAAAAATTAAAATTTTGAAAAATAGTCGGTTAAAAATAACGTTTGAAGAAAGATCCTTAACACACACACAACAAGCTTCGGCAATCTACAAATGGTAACTGAACACAATTTCACGTTTTTACTTGTCAAAACATGCAAAATACAGTGTTGCTAGCAACAAAATAGTGTTGCCTACACAATAATTTGTAATAATGTCGTAAATACTTATGAAAAATTGTGAACTTTACGTTTGAAAGGTGAATTAATGCTGACAATATAACAAAAAACGTGATGGCCCTATTTCAATGGCCACCCACAGTAAATTTTTGATTACTATTGCATATTCAGTTGTTGTAGAATGTTCTGCGAATTTATTTCCACATCGGAAATAAATTTATGTCGGGAAACAATTTTATGCGTAAGCCGCGTAATATTATTTCCTTAGTAACCGAAACTTGCGCCACGGAAATAAATTTATGGGGGAAATAAAATTGTACGACACCGGCCGTATAAATAAAGTAGGCCATGGTATAGAAAAGCCTAGAAACTACTTTAAAATAGAAAAACCTAGAGAATGACGTAAGTCGACCATTAACTACTCTGCACAGTGGGCCAGAATTTTTTTTCCGTGGCCAAAAGTCACAAAAAAGTCAAATCTTCTAAAATTTTTTTTTATTTCATTATTGAAACAAAGGTGCTTTACTCCAATCAAAAATGTATTCGCTTAATTACTAGAGATGAAGGCAAGCTTGCTAGAACCATTCATAATGGCTATAAAATTGTCAAATTTTCGCAAATTTTTTTTTTTCAAAAATACTTATCCTCAAAATTTACATAACTTTTTTCAATTAAAAAAGCTTTGCACTATTTTTATTTTAAATAAACATATTAGCTGAGTGCTTATAAAAAGTATATGTTTTAGTTATATATTTGTATTTTATTTATTCATAATGTCTTAGAATTGTTGGTATTTTAGAGGTGTTTTTCTAAATTTCCTCATCTTTTTTTTTCTAAATGCCACTCGAAGATCGTTTAATTTTCTGATTTTTGCGTTTACTAAACGGCAGTTATTGTTCAAAAAAAAAACCAGCTGCGACCATGTATTCTTTATGATATATTTTTTAGTTCAAAATCGACGACTTTTTTTGCTTTTATAAAAAGACCGATATAAAGTTAAGTTATTTGTTTAAGGAATATAGTTTTTTTTTTTTTTAAATTTTATTAAACACATCGAATCGTTATTATTTAAAATAAATTTTATTTTATTATTTTAATATTTTCAAAAAAGGAAAAAAAAAAAGAAAATCAT